TGGGTGAGCATCATAAAATAATATTACAAATTCAGTGTCCTGATTCTAATTGTTCTCCTTACAACCCTGACTACAACAAAATGATACTACCAAAAACCAACAAATGGTTGGGGCTGGGGATTTAGCTCAGCGGCATAAGCGCCTGCCTTGCCAGCAGGCAGTCGTGAGTTCGATCCCTGGTACCGATAAAAAGGAAAAAGACAAAAAAAAAAAAAAAAAAAAAAAGCCAACAAATGGGATTGTATCAAATTAAAAATCTTCTGCATGGCCAAGAAAACAACCAACAGAGTAAAGAGACAACCCACAAAATGGGAAAAATGTATTGCCAGCTTTTTCTTGGACATTGGACTAACATCTAGAATATATAGAGCACTCAAACAAAAAAGGCCAGGTGTGGTGGCTCAGGCCTGTAATCCCAGCACTCAGGAGGCTGAGGTGGGAGGATGGCTGTGAGTTCAAGGCCAGCCTGAGCTACACAGCAAAACCCTGTCTCAAAATGACCACTACAACAACAACAAACCACAGCAACAACAAACCCTCCCAAAACAGAAGACCCAATCAAGCAACTAAAGTGAACAGAAACTTCTCAGAAGTACAGACGGCCTATAAATCTATGAAAAGATGTTCACCATCTCTGATCATTAGAGAGATGCAAATTAAAACAACACTGAGATTCCATCTTACTCTAGAAAGAATGGCATCATCAAGACGCAAAAAGACCAAAAACAAGAACACGAACAAATAATAATCAGTGCTGGTGAGCCTAGGGGGAGAAAGGGACACTTCTGTGTTGTTAGAGAGAATGTAACCTAGAAAAACTGGTATGCTAAGATAGAAATCCCGTTGACACAGCTCTTCCCCTTAGGTGTCTTGTTGTTACCCTTAGGTATCATAGGTGTCTTAGTTGTTGTATTCAAGTGATATGTGCTGCCATGTTTATAGCTACAGAAGTCTTCTAAGTCTTGGAAACAGCCCACATGCTCATCATCATAGGACCGATAAAGAAAATGTGGTATTTATGTACAATGAAATATTACTATGCTATAAAGAAAGATAAGCTTGAGAGGTTTATAGGAAAATGAATACACCTCAAAACTATAATTTTAAGTGAAATAAATCAGACACACAAGTTTAAATATTGAATAGTTTCTCACATGTGGGAAACCCAAAGCATAAACAAGAGCAAAGTAAAAAAGAGATAATAGGAAGTGGGGAGATCTTTTTCAAATGCAAAGTGGAATAAGAAATGGAAGGGAAAGGGATTTAAAAAAAAATAGAACCAGGCCCGGGATGTAACTTGGTGGCATAAGCACCTGCCTGGCAAGGGCAGAGTCCTGAGTTTGATCCCTGGTGCCACACAAAAAACTCAGAAACAGAGCTTTGTAAATGGGGGGGGGGGCAGGAAGAGTGAGAGGAGACGAGGCCAGGGAAGGACTGAAGATGTGTTGTGTGTGTGTGCAGACGCCCCATGGCCAACGGAATCATTCTGTACTGAAAACATGTGTGAATAAAAACCGAAAAGAACACACAAAATTTATAGCCACGTGCAGAAAGCGTGGCAGTGTGAGACTCCACCAATTAATACTTATTTTTGTTGTCATTGTTTTGTTTTTTGGGATTGAACCCAGGGCTTTGGGTGTAGAAAGCCCATGTGATACACTAAGGCATAACCTTAGCTCCTGTAGCTTTACAATAATACTGCCCATAATAAAACATTAATACTACAGCTTCCCAAAGTAGATTCATGAGGCAGCTTTTCAGAACTCAGAACATTTTTATTTTTATTTTTTGTGACAGTGTTTCACTGTGCAGTTCAGACTGGCCTCGAACTCACAGTGACCCTCCTGCCTCAGCCTGCCAGTTTCTGGGATTACAGGAGTGCACCACCATGCCTGGCTAGAACATTTTTAATAGAAACAAGTGGGGTGTTTGGTTTCTCACATCAGGTTAACTAAAAAATACTCATCGTCCACATACTAGGTACATGTTCCCTAATCCGACAGCCTTCAGCCAGACTTTGGCACGGTGGCCTCTAGGTCCCAGCAGCCAGCGCTGACAGCTGTGTGTCTGGAGGACACGCACGCTGCCCCGAGAGCCTGCTCTGCAAAGCCCTCTCTGGGGGGCTGGTGCTCCGCACTGCAGGGCCTGGGAGTCGGCGGAGCTGCCCCCCACTCTGCGTCTCCCCCATTATTTGTCCTTCATGTGTCAAACTCCCTGCTCCTTTGCAGCTCACATCTTGTGTAATTACCCGCCATCTTTCCTTCTTACTAGGATCTTCAAGTCTGCTCATTTACTCAAAGACACTGATAACTTTAGGATCCAGGTCACCGTTTCCTTTTTATACCTACTTTTCTATCATTTGTTACTTCAAAATTCCTCTGAGCAGCTAAGCAGGGTGGCACATGCCTGTAGTCCCAGCTACTTGGAACGCTGAAATAGAACAGTGTTAGGCCAGGAGTTCCAGTCCAGGCTGGCCAGTATAGCAAGACTCCATCTCAAAGAACAAAACAGAACAAAATAAAATCCCTCAGGCAATCCATGTAATTGTACCTCTCAGCTACCCAGCCTCACTCCGAGACCCTCAGCCCATCCTCGTGCCCCTCTCTGGCCTTTGTCAGTTCCCAAAGTGACCTCTCGCGATCACCTCTTGGATGTCCACTTCATGCACGCGTGGATTCCCACTCCTTCCAGCCCGAGAGGCCCTCTGAGCCATGCCCTATTGTTTTCACTGTTCATCTTTCCCTTTTTGGGTCTCCTATCCTTCTGAGCCAGTTTATACCCAGGATGAAATACAATCGCTCTCCCTCTGTTTTAACAAAACCCCAACATTGGAACATTCCAGCCGCCCAGCCACTTGGGTGCTTGCGCCCAATGGTGCAACGCTGCTGGGAGAAGCATCTGCAGTGATGGCCATGGCATCACTAAATCAGTAGTTCCTCCTGGGGAGAGTTTTACTCCTCTTTCCAAAACACTGAGCAGTGTCGGGCTGAGGCTATGGCTTAGTGGTAGAGGGCTCGCCTAGCGTATTCAAAGCCTAGGTTCAATCCCCAGTCCCACAAAGAAGAAAAGGAAAAAGGAGAAATTCAAATTAAGCAGTGAGGGTTGGGGCTGGGGCTGGGGCTGGGGCTGGGGCTGGGGCTGGGGGCTGGGGTTCAGCAGCACAGAACCCACCTGGCAGGCGATCCTGAGTTTGAGTCCCGGTTCCGCTGGAGACTTGTCTGGATGTTACACGGTGTGGGGTGGTGGGGCATGTTCTACTCACATCTAATTGATAGATGTCAGGCAGCTGCTAAATATCCCACAGTGCACAACACAGCTAAGAATGACCTGGCCCTAAATGTCACTAGCATCAGCGTTAGAAGTTTTGCTTTGAATCAATCACTACATTCTCAGAGGGACAGTTCGTATGAAGCCTTAGCATTTGCTGTTATTGCTGCCTGTAACACTATTTCCTGCAGAGGGCTCATCATGTAGCAGTCACTTCCCCAAAGTGGCCCATACTTCATTTGAGATTAGAGTCAGGCTCATCACAATACTATTTTATATATGTCTTTACTGCTTTTCTCTTCCTTGTAGAAAGTAAGTTATCCAAGCATGGCATCGTGTATGTTTTGTTCACTACTGCATGGTTACAGGCGTATAACAGGCATTCGGAAATATTTGTGGAACAGTGGATGAAAATATTATTTATTTACAATTCATTCAAAAAACAACAAATCTGGAAAAAAAAAAAAAAGAAAGAAAAAGAAAAACAAGCACAGAGCTATGAGAACACTGAGTGATGGGCTGACTCATTCCGGGGTGAGGCAGTCCGGCCAGGCTTCCTGGCAGTGAAACTTGAGCTGATCACTGAAGGAAGAGGCAGCTAGCTGGAGAGGAGGGTGGTTGGGTTGGCTGGGGAAGAGCATTCAGGTTTCGGGTGTTTCAAGGTCCGCATGAAGTGTGTGTCAGGAACACTGAGAAGGCCAGGGCGCCTGGGGCAGATTGGTAAGCCATGGCATAGCACTGACTCAAAGCTGCACAGAGCGCTGTAACGGCTCTCAGGACGATCTTCGTGAGTTCAAGACCAGCCTGGGCTACCTAAGCGAGCTCAAGGTCAGCCTGAATTACATAGTCTCAGAAAACCAAAAGCTAAACAAACAAGAAGAAAAGTGGACTTTGGAGCTTCAAATCACTTGTAAAAAAAAAAAAAAGGCAACTCATCATTAATCAATAAACAAGAATAGCAAAGTATTTGTGGAGGTCTGCACTTTCTACAAAAGTAGACCACCTGGCTTAACATGAAGGGCCCCCCTTATGTTTACTGACTAGATGGAGGAAAGATTTTTATTTATTTATTTGGTACCGGAAATTGAACTCAGGACCTCATGCTAGCCAGGCAGGTGCTGTGCCCCCGAGCTACAACCCCGATGGAGGAGATTAGAAGTGTTTGAGAGGGAAGAACACAGATGGGAATGTGAGGGAACGGAGGTGGAAGGGGGGAAAGCCAATGAGCACCCAGGTAACAAAGGCGCTTTGAGAGATGTGGAGGTTGGAGGAGGCGGCTGGGGGGAAACGGTAAGAAAGGGTGGGGAGCAGGCCGTGCAGACAGGAAGGCGAAAAGTGTGACAGTGTTGCTGGGCTCCGAGGGGCTGGACACGGGTCAACAGGAGACTAAAAGGGAGCAGAGCAGGAAGTGGGAGACCGGGAAGGAGGAAAGCCCAGATCCTTGGAGGCGCCGTTGCACAGAATGATGAGGCTAAAGCTTGGGAGAAGCCAGAGTGAATGGAAGTCCCCGATGGAACTGAGGGCCACCCGGAGGGCCAGCAATGGAAGAGTGCAGGCGCCGAGCCTGTCCCATGCTCGCCGGGAGGAGGAAGAGGCCGGGGAGGGGTACCCCACTGCGTGCTGGCGCTCCTCAGAGGCTTCTCCCTTTCCTAGGAGGCTTGATATAGAAGGGCCACTGAGGGGCCCGGTCAGCAAGCCGCACGGGGCTGGAGTGGGCTAGCAGGGAGGGAGGTGGTGGCTGCGGAACAATGCCCAGGGGCCCGTGGAGGCCTCCCCGCAGGGCAGAGGCACTGAGAGCCAGGCGCAGGGAGTGGAAACCCCGCAGGCCTGCCGAGGAGGGCCCCCGGGACTGGGCCGAGCCCTTGAAGGTGGGGTCGGCTGGGCAGGAGAAGAAAAAGAAGAGCCGAGGGTGGAGGCGAAAGCAGGGCTGGACAAAGAGCACTCGGGGCGGAGGCCGCGCGGGGTGGGGTGGCGGGGCCGCTGTCTGTCCCGGGGAGTCCCGCAGCTCGGTCCGCGGCGGCCCAGGTGCACACAGCGGGACACGGGGGAGGCAGCCCGGTGCGGGAGGGCGGTCAGGTCACCGCGGCGGCAGGAGCTCGGCTCCCTCCGGGCCACCGCTCCCGCTCCGGCCGCCAGGACAGCGCGGCCAGCGGAGGGGCGTGACCCTGTTGCTCAGGTTTCTTCCTCTTCACCTGGGCAGGAGGAGTGGGGGCCAGGACTTCCGGTGCAGGTGGGTGTCCCTTCGATGACGTCAGGTCACCCTCGGCGGCCTGGCCGGTCCCACCCCGCCCCTCGCGTCCCGCGCCTGCATATATAGCCGGGGCGCCGCACCTGTCCGCCCGCACCTGTCCGCCCGCACCTGTCCGCGCGCACCTGGCCGCGCGCACCTGCGGCCCAGCTCGGGGCGCCTCCTGCCGCGCAGCAGCCTCTGGCCCGCAGGCCCGGACCCCTCGGAGACCAGGGTCGCTGGGAGCGCCGGGTCGAACCGCCTGGCCTTCGGGGCTGCTTCGTGCGGCACCAGCGCTTCGGCGCCGCCGTGTCCGTCTGCTGCGGAGCCGTCGTCTCACCGAAGCCGTGGACCTGTGCTGACTCAGGGGCAAGACTTGCAGTCACCCAGCCCGAAACTTGGTTGTGCCTTTGGGGGACGTGAAGGCGCATCTCACGCTGTCTTTTGTGGGGCTGCCTCCACGCTTTGTTTACTGTTGGGTCGCCTGCTTGGCGTCCCGTCTTTTCTGCGGGCAGGATGGCCAATTCGGGCCTGCAGCTACTGGGCTTCTCCCTGGCAATGCTGGGCTGGGTGGCCCTGGTGGTGAGCACTGCCATCCCGCAGTGGCAAATGAGCTCGTATGCGGGTGACAACATCATTACGGCTCAGGCCATGTACAAGGGGCTGTGGATGGAGTGCGTCACGCAGAGCACCGGGTTGATGAGCTGCAAAATGTACGACTCGGTGCTTGCCCTGCCCGGTAAGGCGCTCGGATGGACGGAGCGGGCGCGGAGCGGCGGACTAGGGTGTGGCAGAGGCCGAGGCCCGTGCCCTGGGTTGCCAGGAAGCAGGAGGAGGTCGAAGCGGTCTGGGGAGCAGAGGGGCTGGGCCGGAGCTCTGCGGTTCAGGCTGTAGCATGTCGGTCGGGACCCAGACCCCCTGGGCTCCCCATCCCTCTGGGCCAAAAGGGGCACCGGGTGCCAGCCAGGCCAGGGCAAAGGTGCCATGATGGTTGTCAAAACTGGGCTGCCACCTGTGACCTCTAATCTTATCTGTCGATAAATCGAAGCCACAAACCCTGGGGCCAGGCCAGCCACTCGCCGCGATGTGTGCCCAGCAGTCCAGGCTATAGTGACCACCTGTACCTTTTTGTCCCCCCTTTCACCCTTCCCCCTACCGGGTGCAGTTTCATCGAAACCCTGGCGCCCCGGGCGGGTTCTTGAAGAGGGCGGGGCTGGAGCGGGAAGGTCGCCTCGGTGCCGCCAGGGGTGGGAACCTGCAGCTCGGCAGACCAGGGACACTGAAGAGGCCCCAGGCCCTGACCTCCCAGGTGGCTGAAGCCACCTGGAGTCACCTGAGGGCCACATGCACTTCCGTCAGTGACGCCCATCTGTCTTTCTCCATGGCAGGGACAATACAAGGCACTCGAGCCTTAATGGTGTTGTCCCTGGTCCTGGCCTTCCTGGCCATGATAGCATCCACCGTGGGCATGAAGTGCACTCGCTGTGGGGGAGACGACAAAGTCAAGAAGGCCCGGATAGCCATGACCGGAGGCATCATCTTCATCGTGGGAGGTGAGTGACAGCGGCCTTCAGCTTCTCACTCGGGAGGGCGGGCAGAGGGTTAGTGCTCAGTGCAGGAACCTTCCCTCTCCCGTCTCCCCAGGTCTCGCGGCCTTTTCAGCGTGCGCATGGTGTACGCATCAGATCATCACAGACTTCTACAATCCTTTAACTCCCGTGAACGCCAAGTAAGTCTGGGAGACAGAAGTGAGCTGTCTGGAGGCCTGGGACAGGGTAGCTAGATGGGAAAGGCAGGCCAGGGCTCTGAACCCCAATCCGTTCTCTCCGCAGGTATGAGTTTGGTTCTGCCGTCTTTATTGGCTGGGCAGGGTGTGCTCTGACCATCCTGGGAGGCGCACTGCTCTCTTGCTCCTGTCCTGTGCGTGAGAGCAAATCTTCCTACCGCGCCTCCCAGTCCTACCCCAAGTCTGCCTCTGCCAAGGAGTACGTGTGAGCTGGGGTTGCCAGGCTCCAGGCAGACAGGCTGTGGGTGTGCCCAGGCGCCTTCTAGAATCTGGGGTAGAGGGCTCAGCCTGTGGGCAGGGAGCGGGACAAAGGCTTCCAGCTCAGGCTCAGTCCATCCCTGCAGACCACGTACAGCCCTGGGGGGGTGGGGTGGGGGAGACACAAAAAGGAGGGTGTGCTTTTTGTACAGTAATAAAAAAAATAAGTTTTGGAAAATAGGCTTTTTTCCCCTGGACCTCTACTTTCTTCCTGCCCAGATCCTAACAGGACATGGAAACCAACATTTACTTAAGAAAAAAATCAAACCAAACCTTACCTTTAGAGCACTAGTGATATGCCTGGCTGTCCTGGCCCATTTCACTGTTCCTCAGACCTAACACCTCCACCCCGGACTCAAAGACTCAGGTGCTTGTACCCACTTCCTGTTCTTGTTAAGCAGTTACCGGGTAATTTAAAAAAATACTTTATTAAGTAAGGAGGGACCCTGTTCTCTTGGCTTATCCTATGCCCCCATTCCGCTTCCTTTCCTGCCCCATCGGCTCCCTGACTCACAGAGAGGGGGTGGGACAGGGTAAGGGAGGACAGTTCTGGGCCCAGGCTTCCCCTTTCCCCTTCACTGCAGTCCAGTGAAATTTGACTGTCAAATATCCAGGTCGTCATCTGGATCTTCTAGGTCCAGGTCATCGTACGCATCTGGCTCATACAAGATGTGGCCGGAGGCCTGGCTCGGCCCAGAGCGCAGCAGGGCTTGTTGTCTGAGGTGGGAATAATTGGTGCCGGTGAGGGCGGGCAACAGGTCAGGTCCAGATGCCTTCTTCCCGTGGCTGTGACCGCCACTCAGCCACACTCCAAACCTGTCCACTTCCTGGTCACAGTCCCCATCTCCTCACTCCCATGATTTGCCAGGACTGAATCACTACCCACGCAGGGCAGGTGCTCATCTAATGCTCCAACAACACCTTAACCTCTTAGCAGCTCGAGGGCAAGGATTCTGCCGCTGTCTTGCTTCACATACCCACACACTGGGCACAGAGCAGAGCCTCCGCCACACCCATATAGCTTTCAGGCCCAGCACTGCATCTACCTCCCATGTTCCAGTCTGGCTCAGCGCAGCCTCACATTACTCTGGGAACAATCAGGAGCCAGAACCCGCCGGTCAGAAAGACCCTCTGCCATTGTGGAGGTATGGGCAGGAAGGGAACCACTCCCTGCGTTTGTCCCTGGGGTGGACTTCAGCCCCTATAAAGTCTAAGAGGTTAATCAATAACCTGTCATCACCTCCCCTCTGGCCCAGATGCTGGGCTCTGCTCCTGAATTCAGGCTCTAAGCCCCAGTCTTACTTTTCCGAGCTGAACTGGAAGGGCAGAGCCAGGCTATCTCTAGTTTCTCTCTCCTTCTTGGACAAGTGAAGATTAAAGGTCACGTGACTGGTGGGGTCCACCTGTAGACACAAAGGGTGCTGCCATTTGGACTCATTCGAGGACTCTCTGACCCCGCCCCCAGCCCCTGCAGCTTTTAGTTTCCTTTTCTCAAATCCCAAGTTCTCTTGCTCTGGCCCAGGCACTCTTAAGATACCAGGACTGTGTGAGAATCTGGGTGGGGCTGGGACTGTAGGGGAGGCCCTTCTTGGAGATCCAGGCTGAAGTCAGGAAGGATGGAAAACCATTGAGTCTGGGGAGAAAAAAGGAGAGTTAAAAGTATCTTTTCAGGGCTGGGGATTTAGCTCAGCGGCATAAGCGCTTGCCTTGCAAGCAGGCAGCCGTGAGTTCGATCCCCAGTACCGATAAGAAGGAAAAAGACAAAAAAAAAAAAAGTATTTTTTTCCTCTCTCTCTCTCTCTCTCTCTTCTTTTTGAGATGGGATCTTGCTATGTGGTTCAGGCTGGCCATGAACTCACCATGTAGCTCAGGCTGGCCTGGATCTTAGGGCAATCCTCCTGCCTCAGCCTCCCAAGTGCTGGCATTACAAGTGTGTGCCACCACACTTGATTGTACTTTCCCATTTTACTGGATAAACCAGAGAATTCAGGCTCTCATGTCTTTAGTTATTAATCATCTAAACTGGTTGCTTACAGCCTATGCCCTCAACTTCTAAAGCCTGTTTTAAATCTTTTTCAACTTTCTGAAAGACACACTATTTTCATTGGTTCACAACTTTTAGTCAATCAATCCTGAGTTCAGATGCTAGCTATGCCACTTTATAACTTTGGGTAAGTGACTTAAATTTCCCTGGAATTGTTTACTGGTCTTCGAAAGGAGGATGATAAAGTGATTACCTCACAGGGCAGCTGTGATGATCAAAAGAGGTAACAGAAGACACAAGGAAAGGGGAGAGAGCCAGTTTAGTGAGTGGCAAGGGTACATGGACAAGGCCCTGTGTTCAATATCTGTACCATAAAAGCAAATCGGCCACAAGGAAGTACGCAGTTAAATAGCCTGCTCTTTAATTGTTCTTCCCATCATGCCACTGGTTTCTCTTACCCTAACCTCTAGCCTCCTAGGGCTTTTCCTCACCTGATAAGTTGGGCGATGTCCGGGCTTCCGGTAGAGGATGTGGGCTGAGGCCTGGCCCATGGTACCACGCAGGCTCACCTCGATCTGGGCAAGGCTGCCCAGTGCTCCAAGGGGGCCCGGGGCATGAAGCTCTTCATGCAGCAGACCCAGCACATTGACCCGTTCTCCTGGAGAACGGTCACCTGCAGAGCGACAAGAAAATGAAGGGCACAAGACAGTAGGAGGGGCCAGGGATACAGCTCGGTGGCCTCAGTGCCTGCCTGGCAAACGCACGTTTGTGAGTTCAAAACCCGGTACCAAAAAGAGAAAAGAAAAGATAAAAAGACAGAAAGACAGCAGGAAACCTTTACAGTGGAGGCCTGGGAGGAGACAGTGCAGAAAAGGATGGGGTGGCCCGCATTGCATCCTAGCTGCCACAGTCCTAACTCAGGCCAGTTTCATGGCCCTGCTTGAGCCTCTTTCCACCTGTACCCTAATACACTCCCTTCCTCTAAGGCAGATCTGATCACGGCCCCACTCCGAGTTCAGCACCCCTCTGAGCCTTCAGGATGGAGCAAACACTTTCAGCACTTAACTCCACTAACTTTCCAGTCTCATCTCTTCCACACCGAACTACCTGCAGTTTTTGAAACTTGCCAAGATCTCAGTGTCTTTCTTCCCCTCACTTTTGGGAGCATTAACGGACTGTCAGCACCGCACTAAACACTTTAACACAGCATTTTAATCCTTACAAAGGTCAGGTTTTATTTTTATGTTTTGCTGGTACTAAGGATTGAACCCAGGGCCTTAGCACTGATCTACCCTCCCAGTCCCTTTTTCGTATTTTATTTTGAAACAGGATCTGGTTATGTGGATAGTTTGTGCAGGCGAGGCTTGATACTGTGATCTTTTTGCCTCAGCTTCCCAGAGTGCTGGGATTACAGGCCTCTGCCACCACACCTGGGCAAAGATCAGTTTTTAGACCAAACCACATGGCAACTTCAATGGCTCATTCTAATGCTGTATTTCCACCCTCACCACTTTTCTGCAGGGGAAACAAGCACCCCAGACTAAGCGCTTCTGTACAAAGCTTGGTATCTCTAACCCTAAAACCCACAGTGTACTTCAGGGCTAATGTCATTGCCCCTCTTCGGATAAGCCTAGCTTACCTGTTGCTCTTTGAGATAGTTCCTTCCTTAAGGTGTCCTGTCTATATGATCACAGCTCCTATCAGACTATCTTGTCACTACCTGTTTACCTGTCTGTCTTTTATGAGACTTCCAACTCCTGGAAGGCAATGATACCACAAAGTTCAGTCTTTATTTTTCTACTATCTATGTATTTAATACTTGTTAAAGGGGTGAAGGAGATGAATAAAGAAGGCTGAAGAGTTGGAATAAAGTCTGATGAAAAACCCTTGATGCATCTTCTTACATTAGAAAGGAAAAAGGGGCCATTCTTGGGCAGGAAGAGATGTGTAAGATAAGACAAAGGTCTCACCACCACAGGAATCTTGATGGCACAGAGCACGGAGGGTCTGGCACACTGTGCTACAGGGAAAATGAAGCAGCAGCCAGCTGAGTGAGTCAAGAGCAACGGTGACAGGTCTGGGATCTGTCAGCCTGCACATGGTCCTCAAGGCTCCCAGAGGTCCGCCAGGAAAAGCCTCCCCAGTTTTTGACCAATTGAGAGGATCTCTGAAGAGGTCATGGTAAACCACTCTGTAAAAGGAAAGTAAGATACATAATATTATACTTTCTCCCTACCTCAGATCTGACCCTCTAGTCTTTGTGGCTGTTTTTTCAATTTTCCCTAGTACCCTAAAAATTCACAAAACCTAATTACTGAGGTAAGTTTGAAAGCACAGACTCTGGGCTGGGGATTTAGCTCAGTGGCATAAGCGCCTGCCTTGCAAGCAGGCAGCTGTGAGTTCGATACCCAGTACTGATAAAAAGGAAAAAGACAAAAAAAAAAAAAAAAAAAAAAAAAAGCACAGACTCTAATGTCCAACAGCCTAAGCTGTAAGTTAGATATTACTACTTGTTCAAGGTCACCTAATTTAACATTTGTTCTAAATGCTTCACTCTTAAGTCATGCCATGTTCCTCTTAACTGTTATTTTCTAAGATTCCTTAAGAGAGGGAATAGGTCTGTCTCATTACTGCTGTCTCCAGGACCCTGATTTATAATTGGTGCCCAATATGTATACATCTCCTGCATGAACACGCATTACTGCAATAGCCTGATCTTCCTGGCTCCATGCCACCACCCTCCAATACATCCTCCACACTGTGTTAACAGACTGGATTAGTCTTTCTAAGACATATGGTGATAACACTAGAATTGATAACAATTCTCCCAAATTTTCAAGTGACTCCTGTCTTTGGGATAACATCTCCACTCCTTTTCACACGCTGTAAGACTTTTTTTCGTCTTTTTTGTTTTTATCGGTACCAGGGATCGAACTCACGACTGCCTGCTTGCAAGGCAGGCGCTTATGCCGCTGAGCTAAATCCCCAGCCCCACGCTGTAAGACTTTTTACAGCCAAGCACCTTTTTCTTTTTTTTTGGCACTGGGAACCGAACTCAGTACCTTGCCAGGCAGGTGCTGTGCCACTGTGCTAAATCCCTGGCCCCTAAGTACCTCTTTAGCTGAATGATCCTGATACCTTTTATTACTATGATTCCTAAATTCCAGGATTGCTGCTTTGTATCGTTCAAACTGTCACCATTCTCCATCATGCCTCTTATTAATTTTCACCACCTTTAAAAGGCCTACATTCATAGGCCAAGCAGGGTGGTGCAGGCCTGTAATCCCAACACTCTGGAGGCTGAAGTAGGAGGATCGCCGCGAGTTTGAGGCCAGTCTGGGCTACACAGTGAGTCCAAGGCCAGGCTGAACTACATATTGAGACCCTATCTTTTAAAAAAAATCCAGATCTATTCCTTCAGCGAATGGCTGTTACTACATCCTAGATTCAGTGCTTGTTACTGTAAATGCAGTCCATTAGCAGCAGAGAGCTTGCATCTGTCGCTCTGTCTCCCCGTTTGCACTCACCGGCTGTTAATACCGGAGTCAAGACCTTCTCGAAACTCTTCCTCGCTGACTTCACAGCCCAGGACGTGAATTTGTTTTCCACTTAGAGATAAGGGGGAAAGTCGAAGAGTGGGGTACAGGCTCCCTTCCCAGGGGAAGGCGGGAGGCTCAGCCAGATACTCACCACAGTGCAGATTTCTTGATCAGCGCCTTCAAGAAATCGCGCCCCTCCCACTCTATGGAATCTGGGGAAAGTAAGAGCCCTCAGGTTTCCGCCCCTACGAACCCGTCATGGCATCTACCCCCGGTCTCTGCCTCTGTGCTTAAGATCTTTACCCCGAAGCAGTACCAATCCTCCGAACGCTACCAGCGACTCCAGCATCTCTGCTGCTGTCCCGCCCACTCAGACGCCGTCTGATGGCGTCACGGCCACGCCCACCCCAGCGAACGGGGCGGGACGTTAAGGATCCCGCCCACCCCTGGGAGGGGGCTGTCTGCACCCAAAGGTGATTTTATGTTCACTATTTGCAGAGGGGAGGGTCATACGAAAGAACGCCTCCAGATTCTTGGAATGGAGACGTAGGGACGACAACAGGTCTCGTTTCACCGTGACAAAGCCCCAAGAGCCGTTAGGGGCGTCGCACGAGCCCTTCCCCTACGGCGGTCAAAAGCCTGGGTCAACTGACTTCACCCCGCTCCGCCCACGCTGTTCGTGGCTTGGCTCCAGGTCCCGCCCCGCGGCTGCCTTCTGCGCGTGCGCGATGCTGCAGCCGCGTTGGGGTGCTCTTGGCTTTCCTTATCCCTACCCCCATAAGACCCAGCAGAGGGAACATTAGTCCCGGTGAAGCGAATACACGTCACCAGCGGAAGTAGTGTCAGAGGGGAAGAGGAGGGGGAAGAGGAGGAGGGAGGCCACTGGGTGGCAAAATGGCGCCTGTCAGAGTAGGAAATCCAGTGGTAGAGGCTGCAGCCCCAGGCTTCAGCGGCTAAGGGACCTCTGACCTCGGGGAGGGGGAGGCCACTCCGGCCCAGGGCTCCGCGTCCCTCGGCTCCCCCTCCCCCTCCTTCCTTCTCCTTTACTCAAGCCAGCCTGTCTGCCGCCGCCGCCGCGGCCCATCTCGCGCCGCTACCCCCGCCCGCCCCCCCTTTCCCGCGGGCAGCCCCCTAGCGCGCCTGCGCAGCGGGCCACCCTCCGCTTCCCTTTCCCCTCCCCCTCCCGTCTCCCTCCCCCTCCCCCACTACCCCCTCCCCCAATTCTCCATCCCCTTCCCTCCCGGTCTCGGAGGACCCCGTCCTATCCCGACCTGTCTCGGCCTGCAACCTTCGCGAAGCCGTCGGTGCCAGTCCCCCCGTCCATGTCGGCCCCCGCGGGCTGCCCACGCCTGTCCCCCAGCTCCCCGTTCCGCTGGGCTTTCCCCTCTCCAGAGGTGGCTTTCTAAGCCGCCCGCTCGGTGCCCTTCTCTGCAGCCACTCCTGCCACTCGGGGCCCCTGTTCCCCCTCCCAGAGGCGGGGGGCTGCCCCCGGGGGGCTGGCGGAGCTGGGCCGCGGGGGCCCCGGGGCCGGCGGTGCCGGGGTCATCGGGATGATGCGGACACAGTGTCTGCTGGGGCTTCGTACGTTCGTGGCCTTCGCCGCCAAGCTGTGGAGCTTCTTCATTTACCTTTTGCGGAGGCAGATCCGCACGGTGAGCCGAGGGGGTGCTGGCGGTAGTGGGGCCCTCTGTCCGCGGTGCTCCCGGGTTTCGCAAAGTACTCGGCCTTCAGGCCTAGGAAAGGAGTCCTGGCAGGGCCCTTTTCTGCTACAGCATTTGGATGCCCTGAGCGGGGCGTGAGATAGGGAGGAGGAAAACCCTTATAATACAAATAAAATCGGGGGAGGGGGAGTAAGTGGGCGTAAGTGGGCAGAATTTGGCAACTCTTGGGGGCTAACATAGTGGGTGGAGCATTATTAAGAAAGCTGGAGTTGTTGTTAAAGAAACCGAGTGGCGGAGAACACCTGTTTGCTGGCATCCAGAACTGTTGGTGTGGGTTCCTGAAAGACCCTACTATTGGAACCTCTGGGTGTGCTTAGTCTGGAGACACAGGCTTCTGTGTCAAGGGTGGGGGTGGGTAGGAGGGCATATGTGATAAAACATGGATGGGAACTTGGGAAAGCCTTCTTAATGGAACGCCTCAAAAAAGGTCCTAGAAACTTAATTCACAGTGTAAGTGCGGATGTATGGATATTTTGAGACCCTAAGACTAAAATGCGTTCATGGTGGATCTTTAGTTGTGAGAGGGAGCGTATGAAAGTATCCCCGTTAGTTAGAAAGGTAGGGCCAGTGGGTTGCAGCTTTGCCTCTGAAGGGGTGCTGGTTTCTCCAGGGAGAATGTAGCGTTGTGAAAGGGTACCATGGGTTCCGGTATACACAAGCATCTCTGGGCTCCCTACCTGGAGGTTTTATTCAAAATTCTTCAAGCATATAATAACTTAATGAATGTACTCATTTTCTGACAACACTGGGGTGGATCCTCTGAAAGGATGTGAGAAAAACTGAGTGAGCTGGGATATAGAAGTCTGTAATCTTTGGAATGTTTCAGTATAATCTGAAAGAATATAAACCAAGTATGCGCAGTATAGGTCAAGAGAATTCCAGGAAAGCCCTAGGTGGTGGTAGTGGTGGACTTAATTGGTTTTGGGGAATGGCCTGACTTTGGGGTTATTCTCTACCAGTCTGTTCTTTCTACTTCCTGGATTAGGGTAAGGATCATTTGGGGTGATGGTGGTTGCAGGCAGGAGTATTTCCCTGAGATAAGAAAGCTAGGAGCCAAGAATTTGGGATCAGAGAGGCTAAGGTGAGTGCAGGGTGAGCTTTTGGGCTTTGTGTTGGCTGCTGTCTTCTCGGCTCGACCTTGTTCTGAGATCCCTCCTTCTCCCTTAGTACATCAGTTTTCTGGATGTAGAGAATGGTGCTCCAGTCCAGCTATCGGAAGATTGGTTACTCGCAGCTTGCTGTCTCTTGGCAGCACTGACCCCTCAGCCCTTTGTCCTCCCTTCCCTTCCAGTGTGGTTTCCTCCCCCACTCCCTTTCTGGCAGATGCTTGGAGCATTCCCTACATGCCCAGCATATGCAACCCGAGATAGCAGGGCAGGACACCCGAGCTGTTCCAGTTCTCACTGCAACCCCCATCGTGGCCCAGGGAGAACAGAAGGGCAAGATGCCTTGGTATACGGAGGAGAAAGTCCATTGCTTTCCAAAGGGACAGCCAGCATCTGATGTGGTTTGGGGTCTATGCATTGAGCAAAGCGTGTTTGTACCTTAGAATAAAAGAGAAGAGAAGCCCGGCTTTGTGGGGGGAAACCCGAGTGTTAGGAAATAGCCTTTAGAGAATACTGGGAGAAGCAGAGCGAGAAGGCGAGGTGATGCCGTTCTTGTCCCTCCAGTACCTCTCACGGCCCTTACTTTGACTTTATATCCTATCTGTCGCCCTAGCAGGTGGGGCTTTCCGGTGTTCTCTGCCTTGCCCTGGGTTCCAGGATAAGGAGGCTGTTCAGAGGGCTGAGGTTCTTTGCAACTTGTGACTTGGCTAGCAGAGACACAAGTGGACAGGTGGCTGGTTAAAATAGTCCTGGTGACCCTCAGCCAGAAGAACTTATATGACCTGACCACCTCTGGATTTCCTCATTCTGTATTCTCCCTTAGTGATCCAAGGATCTCCTCTTATGATTCCTAGTCCCTGTCTACTAAGAGTGAGGCTTTTGGTTCCCGAAAGAGGCATTATGGGAATTGCCACAAAGAATTTTAGAGGTGAAGGTGGGGACCCATGTATTTCTTTATTAAGCATAGCAAGATAATGTCATGTTAAGAGGGCAGGTTCTCAACATCAGTCTTCAAGGAATAATCCTGGCCATACCGCCATACTGCGTCATTGATGCTACCAATGTAAACTGACCACCCTTGCTATAATGTCATACGCACTGAGAAAACCACTACTAAGACACAATTCATGCTGCCATGAAGTTTTCATTCTAATTGGGGAGCTGAATAAATAAGTCTAGCTGTATGGACCAAGGACAAAGCAATACCACCAGCCTTTGGTTTCTTATGTGTAAAACAGGGATGACCACAGTATTATTATTGTTACTATTATTAGGATTGTTTTTTGTTTTGTTTTGGTGGTGTTAGGGATTGAACCCAAGGCTAGGCAAGTGCTTTATCACCGATTATTCCACCAGCCCTATTAGGCTTGTGTTAGGGATTAAATGAAAAATCTTAAATCATATAGTGCCCAGCATATGGTAAATGGTCAATATTTGCCACCTGCTACTGTTACTAGGGCAGATTTCCTTGTCAAGGGTCCTAATCCTCTTTCTTGCTGTCTTTAGGTAATTCAGTACCAAACTGTTCGATATGATATTCTCCCCTTATCTCCTGTGTCCCGGAATCGGTTAGGTGAGTATGCTGCCTGGGAAAATGCCTTGAAGTTGAGGTAGGAGTCCAACTTTGTGTGAGGTCAGTTCATGTTATCCCTTCGCATTGTGGTTCAGCCCAGGTGAAAAGGAAGATCCTGGTGCTGGATCTGGATGAGACACTTATTCACTCCCACCATGATGGGGTCCTGAGGCCCACTGTGCGGCCTGGAACGCCTCCTGACTTCATCCTTAAGGTGTGTGGGGGTGGGAGTGAGGCGATGGTTATACCTGTTATTGTGTCCAGTTTTGGGCTCCCCTCCCCAATCATAGAGCATCTGTTTCTCAAGATCTGGCACCAGTGTGAGCCTGAAGGATAGCAGTAGCCCCCCGGGATTAGCATATTGGCTGGGCCCCTGTCCTGGTGCCCAGGCCTTCCCCCAGTCTTTCTCTGTTCCTCTACAGGTGGTGATAGACAAACATCCTGTCCGATTTTTTGTACATAAGAGGCCACATGTGGATTTCTTCTTAGAAGTGGTAAGTGTGTGAACGCTAAAGGAAGCTCTGTGATGTAGGACTGGGTATAGGGCTCTGGGAATTTAAGGGATTTGGAAGAAGGGGTGAGGAGAAGTGGGTGGGGGTAGTTTTGGAGAGGAGGCTGCTGTGGGAATACAGGGAAAGAGTTTGAGTAGACAGGGTTCATTTGTGGTACTGACAGAATTCTGTTTTTTTCACATGCATTTGCTCTTTTGTGTTTCTATTTCTATACTTTAAAGGATAGGATTCCTCAGGCACTGAGTTTGAAGGTTTGGGATGGGGTGCAGAATTTTGTGTGCCCAGAGACGTTTGCTGTCATTAGCAGGCCTGCAAAACTAGGCTGAAAGAGAACTCTGTGCTGAAGGATCTGTTCATCGGATACCTCTCAAATCCCCTTTCTGTTTCAGGTGAGCCAGTGGTATGAGCTGGTGGTGTTCACAGCAAGCATGGAGATTTATGGCTGTGCAGTAGCAGATAAATTGGATAACAGCCGAAGCATTCTCAAAAGAAGATACTACAGACAGGTAAAGGCCTAGAACACAGGTTGGGAGGAGGCCACCAGGGAGGGCTCTGGGTTTGAGGTACTTGGCCTGGGGCATGAGGAGGTGTGAATGTGTACTGCATAATCCTCTGCCTTCCAGCACTGCACTTTGGAGTTGGGCAGCTACATCAAGGACCTCTCTGTGGTCCATAGCGACCTCTCCAGCATTGTGATTCTGGATAACTCCCCAGGGGCATACAGGAGCCACCCAGGTATGGGGAAAGGTGGTGAGTCTGGCAGGGTGAGGATATGTCTGTGAAGGGTTTCTTTGGGAGTGATTGGCATGGAACCCAAAACCTCATATGCTAGGCAAGTTCTACCTTGAGCCCCATTGTCAGATCCTTGAGGACATATTTTGAATGTAGAGAAGTAGGAGGCAGGAGACACAGGCCTTATTTCTGGTTTTTGTTTTTGAGACAAAGTTTTACTTTGCAATTTAGGCTGGCCTTGAACTCATTTTGTAGCTCAGTGTGGCCTTAAACTCCCAGTGATCCTCGTGCCTCTGCCTCCCAAGTGCTAGTGCCTTGTTCTTGAGAGAGCTGATATACTATAGGCCCAAGTGCAAGTTGTTTCTCTGTTTCAAATGAGACACACCCCTATCTGTCCATTTCCTAAATCAGACATCCTGTGTTGAATATGTTTTAAGTGAGGCACAATAACAAGTTTGATTAGAAGCTTCAACCGAGTATGAGATCTGGTGATTAATATTTGATTATACTCTTGTGAAGATAAATCAGGAAGTTACTTAGGTTGTTGGAGAGAGAATAAAAACATGTTTTGTTTTTGGTGTCTTGAAACAGGGTATCATCATGTAATTTAGGCTAGTCTTGAACTCACTATGTAGCCCAGGCTGGCTGAGCACAAATTTGGAGCAATCCTCAGCTTCCTAAATGCTGGCATTATTGGTATGCACCACCATGCTTAGCCTGGAAGGAAAAGACTTCTAAGTAAAGAAACATCATGTAAAAACCCCAGGTGCTCTTGAATCCTTTGTTTCTTCTTATATGTATTTTCATCCACCTTAGACAATGCCATCCCCATCAAATCCTGGTTCAGTGACCCCAGTGACACAGCCCTTCTCAACCTGCTCCCCATGCTGGATGCCCTCAGGTAAGGGAATCGGGATTTCTGAGGAAAGGCTGTCATGGGGGGATTCCCAAGAGAATAAAATTATTTGCCTGTTTTACTTACTGACCGCTCTTCCCTTGAGAATTTGAGAGTTTGGACCAGGTTGTACTCCAAAGCTCATCTCTTTTACCCATTGGGTTTTGGTCACACTGAACTTACCTCCATCTTGTGAAAGTGGTGATAAATGCTGCCCCACATCTCCACGGAGGCCTGCTGTGTGCTAGTGCTGTCTGTGGACATGTCAACTCTAAGGTACTCCACCAATGCACGTTATTGTCATCCCAGGTTCACCGCTGACGTTCGCTCCGTGCTGAGCCGAAACCTTCACCAACATAGGCTCTGGTGACAACTGCTCCCCCTCCACCTGAGTTGGGGTGGGGGGGAAAGGGAGGGTGAGCCCTTGGGATGCTGGCTGATGCCCTGTCCAGTGTGAGGACTGCTTGGGCAGGGTCTGCCCCTCCCAGCCCTCTCTGCCCTGGGAGCCCTACACTCCACTTGGAGTCTGGATGGACACATGGGCTAGACTGTGAAGCAGCCTCACTAACTTCGTGTTCACACTCCATGGAAACCCCAGACTGGGACAGGCGGAGGCCATGGACAGCCGAAAGAGTCTGGTGGAGGCAGGACTGGCTGGAGTGAGAGACACATACAGTGATCCAGAAGGCTCAAAGAGAAGCCAAGTCAGCTTTGTTGTGATTTGATTTTTTAAAAACTCTCGTATAAAACTGATCTGAATTCTTCACTCCTGCTCCAAGGGCTGGGCTGTGGGTGGGAGATTGGGATTTTAGGCCACTGGATCTTCCCCAAACTTTTCCTCCCTTACTGTCCCTGTTTTTCTCTCCTTAGACTCCCTCAGGCTGTAATGAGCTCTCCCCCACTCCTTTTCTCTCTTAAACCATGCATTATAACTTTGAAACCAAAGCTGCCCTAGCTCGTTCTCTGGGGTATTGGGACATGAGGGGAGGGGACTTTGTTCACAATCCATAGTGTTCCTGAGACAGGGACTATTGCTGTTGGGGGGAGGAGGAAAGGTGGTGTGGCCTAGGGACAGGAAGTGAACAGCTGACACTAGGTATTTTAATGGGATGGGTCCAGGTGACAGGATGAATGCCCTAGCGAGAACTCTGCTGGCAAAGGACAGCAGTAGCATGCAGAACGAGAAATCTGGACGCCACAAAGGGCCTATAGCTGGAGAAAGGCTGGGTTTCATCTAGGAACTGACGTGGACAGTCGAACCGCTCTGCCCCCAGGCGGCTGACATCCCGGCCTCCGGGGGCGAGGCGGGGCCGAGGGGCGGGGCGGGGCGACGGCTCCCCGCCTCCCAGGACGGGCTCTACTTCCTCACGCTCGCCACGTGACGCCCCGCCCTTCCCAGGGATCACATGATTTCTCTGAGGCTGCAAAGCAGAATGTGTTCTTCCGCGGTAGTCTAGTCCCTTCCGAGCTAACCTTATCTGCAGTCCCTATTGGTCCGCTCATTCTTGGGTTCTAGGCGTTCTGTGTCTAAGCATGTATTTTCTTTCTTCTTATTTTGAGTTCGTCTCCACCACTTGGGTACTACTTTGTTTTGGTTTTAACGGCCGCCTTCACCGTAGCAACACGTTTCGTGAATGGCCTGTAATTGTTTCAGCTCTTCTACGTTAATGCTGAAAAGAACTTCTGGAGAACCAGGTCTCAGGATTATCATCTACCTCTTTTCACCGCCACCTTCCTGGGGGGAGGGGGGGGGAAGGTTTTCAGTTATTTTCAGTTATTTTCACCGATAACAAAAGCCAACTACGTCTGCTACGTCGCCTGCGCAGCCCTCAAGTTGATTCCAAAGCGGTTACGCTAATGGCGTGAGGCGGGCCGGCAGCGGGTGGCGCTACGATGGTGGCGTTAGCTGCTGGGCTAGTGGCGTATCTTAGCGGGCGGGGCAGCCGGGGATGGTCGGGGGCGGGGTTGGTGAATAGGGAAGTGGCGCAAACTCGCGGATCGCTCCGCTGAGTCCGCCCGCGCGACTCTGCCATCGCCGCCGCCCCCTGTCCCGGCCCCCCCTCCCCGGATTCCCTCAGCCTAGGTCGGTCCAGCCCGGTTCCCGGGAGAATGAAGTTCGTGTACAAAGAGGAGCATCCGTTCGAGAAGCGCCGCTCTGAGGGCGAGAAGATCCGAAAAAAATACCCCGACCGGGTTCCGGTGAGGATAGTGGCTCGGGCCGCGGCTAGGGACGCTGACGCCGCAGTCTGGGCTTCGATCTAGGACCTACGCGCGGGAGTCTGGCTCCCATCTGTGGTGGGGCTGCGAGTGCGCCTGAAACTGTTAGCCCGAGAACTCAGGATTGAAAGGAGCACCGAGGAACAGAGTTGGGGGAGAGCTGATGTGGATGGGAGAAGCTTTTGGCATTCGTGAGTGAAGACCTTAGGTTTTGACAGCCTGGGCGTCATATACATGGTCATTTTCCTAGTTAACTAGCTTTGCCAGACTGGTTCCGTGGTTGGTCCAGACGAGTCATCAGGCTTCTCTGGTTAAGATAGTTGGTTGTTATGACACACCATTCAGGGACTGATCCTGGATATGTAGGTGAGCCAAGTGAGGTCGGGATGTCTAGACTTAGTGCAGCACCGTGTGTGGAGAGACAAAGAAGTGAGTCTCGGATAGTTTAAGTTCTGGGGATATAGTAGCTTGAGTTCTTGACAAGTGGAGCTGTGGGCTGTATTCTGTGTTAACTGATTTTAATTTTCTGTTTTGTCAGGTGATAGTAGAAAAAGCTCCCAAAGCTCGGATAGGGGACCTGGACAAAAAGAAATACTTGGTGCCTTCTGATCTCACAGGTAGGAACCTGACCCAAGACCAGAATTTGCTTCCTGTGGGAGTGCCGTTGGGGAGGGGGCAGGCTCCATCTACCAGCAGGTCTTCTGAAGGCGTATATGATTTCTGTGAGTTTCTTGCACCTTATATTTTTGGCAGTTGGTCAGTTCTACTTCTTGATCCGGAAGCGAATTCATCTCCGAGCTGAGGACGCCTTGTTTTTCTTTGTCAACAATGTTATTCCACCCACCAGTGCCACAATGGGTCAGCTATACCAGGTATAGTCTGGGAAGTGGCGGAGAGGAGTCTTGGGAGAGCTTGATTGGAAGAAAGTAATAGGTCAGCGATTCTTGGAACAACTGGCCTGCTTGCCTTAAAATTTCATGATTGTCCTGAATTGTGATTTGGACAGAGCAGTGAGGGAGAAGATCAGTGAGCTGGAGGAACTGTCCAGATGGGGACTTTATCCAGTTCCTCTACCTACTCTAAGGAACAGTTGGCGATCTTTCTGCTTAGGGCTGCTGCAGGGATAATACAGTTTGCTTGCTAGGGTCTGGTTAGTGTGGCACTTTGTGGGGGGCGTCTTCTTTAAAAGGAATGGTGCTTGAAGAGTGTGTCACAGTGAGTGGTTCAAGTTCCTGAGAGCTGTTCATGAACACCATTTTTGCTCTCATCTTAGGAACACCATGAAGAAGACTTCTTTCTATACATTGCCTACAGTGATGAAAGTGTCTACGGTCTGTGAAGCTGCTACCCCTGAGGTGGGAGGTTCTATTCTACAAAGCAAGAGGTGGCACCCCTTCCCCGATCTTCACCTCCTTCTGGCTCATACACAACCTCCTTTCTTCAGGACCTGCACTTCTTAAAGATTAAGGCTTTCTGTCCAGCCCGTTAGCAGGAGGAGTAATGGTGAACATGGCCTTTTGTATCTCTTTTCTCCTTTTGTTCCCCTTTCTTTACCATCCTTTCCCACAGTGGTTTAGACTTCTTGATTGTCAGTCTGTCACACCCAGAGATTGTTTTGGTTTCTGTTCCCTTTCTATCTGTCTAGGGGGTCAGAATCCCAACTTTGACAACCTTCTTTCTTGGGGGGTAATGGAAAGGATTGAAATTGTGGAAGGAAGGTAGACATCACATCAATAAAGAGGAAACCACCAAATGAACTGAGTTTTGACTTGTATTGTTCCCCCCCACCCCCCTTTTTTTTAAGTTTCAGAGGTATCATGGGTTTCAGTGGTATGGAAAGAAAAATAACTGGTCTAGGATAGAGGCATAGAAATATATTTGGTATATTTTGTTGATGGGCAAGTTCCTTCTTTGCATAAAAATGGTGCATTTATTATGAATGGAATACTATTGGGTTTCAATGCAAAAAAAAGTTTTTTTACTGTGAGTTCCTATGGAGAAAGTTTTAACATCTTTTAGATGAACATAATCAAGTTTGTCATTCTGGATGAAGTAAGAGATGTTGAAGTGTAGGAAACCATAAAAGAACTATTTTCAGTTGCATGTCACTTGCAGACTTTGTCCCCACATGTGGAAGCCTGTGGAATGGAAATCCAGGGAGGAAAACTGGGAGGAGGGAGCCATTATCAGCAGGAGAACTTCATCTCCCAGTAGTCATCTCTCTGCTCGGTCGGAAGTGGGGCGTTCCCCTGGGGAAGAAAGGCTCAGAATGAGACTGTATGGTGGCCGACAGTTCTAATCCCGTCTTCCTCGGTCCCGCCCAGCCTACGTTTCCCACTATCCTGTGCGCGTTCTTCCGCCTACCCCCTCTTTCTCCCCATATCCCCGCCACTCCCCGGAGGCGGGGAGAGGTTATTGCGCCTGCGCCTTGCATAGCTTGCTGGGAATTGAGGTTCCGGAGGCTAATGCGTTCCTCTTTCTGCTGCCCAAGGAGGAACTACAAACCCCTTGGTGCACTGCGTGTAGGCGCCGGGGAGGGGGAGGAGGACTGAGGGAGGAGGAGGGAGCAGGCGGCCGGCGGCGCGGGGGGAGGGGGCCCGGTCCGGGAGTGCGGGAGGCGGTGGTAGAGGGAGGTGGCGGCAGCGGCTAGCGGACTGAAGTCTTAACTGGGTCGAAGCGGACACTTCTGTGGACCGAGGCAGTGGGACTACCGAACACCAGAGGCAGCACGGGAATCTTCGGCTTAGGGGAGGGGGACGCCGGACCGGGAGGACGGGAGGGGGCGATGCTGGAAGCCATGGCGGAGCCCAGTCCCGAAGGTGAGCTCTCAACCGGCTCAGAGTAGACGGGAGGCGGGCGAGGAATCTATTGGCAAACTTGGAGGTCGAGCCCTGAGCCCTGCGAGGGAGTGCGAGGAAGAGGTCGGGGGCCGGGTCCTGGAGGTGGGAGACCGACTAGTTTAGAGTCGTTGTAGAAGGGAGCGAGAGACTGGTTGAGATAGTTGGAGATCAGGCTGTGCGTGTGGGGGCTAAGGGCTAGGAGCTGGAAACTCTGGGGTTAAAAGGGCCTTACACTGGTTGGGGCCCTGAAGCTGGGCTGTTGGGGGAATCTGGGTGCAGGAGAGTTGTTGAGAGGACGTAGCAGAGGACTGAGTGAGGGGCCCGGTAGTTGCCCGAGGTGGGGGAGTTTGTGACGGTGGTGCTGGAGCTCCTAGTAGTTGCCGCCAGAGATAGCTCGGTGATTGTTAGGAAGAGTGGGCAGGTAGTTGTAGGCAGAAGGGGTCTGGTATTGTCTATGGGGAAGAGACCTGTACCCGGGTGTAGTTGTGGGGCGAGAAAGCTGGGAAGCCAGGCGAGCTGGGTAGTTGCAGGGGGCTGTGGGGCGGGGTGGGGGGGTTAGGACCGGCGACTTGCGGGCGCGGTGGGGGGGTTGGTCGGCAAGGGTTGGAGCCTGGGAGTTGTGGAGGGTGAGTGGGCAGCGGAGGCTGCGGTGGACTAGCCGGTTGAGGGGAGGGGGCTAGAGTTGAGGGGTCCGTAGCCTAGGGACTCGGTGAATACGGCGCGGGGGGTGGCGGCCGGAGGCCGACGGAGCTCGGAACTGGGCCCGGGGGCCCGGCGGGGAGCCTGAGCGCTCTAGACGGGGAGGGGCCAAAGCCCCGGATGGGGGCGGAGGGACGGCGAAATTGTGGGCAGCGTGGGGGGGGGGGCAGGTGGGGCCGCGTCCGGCTTCGATCGCTCAGGTCTGTGCTGGACGCTAAGTAGCGTTGGGTGTGTGTGTGCCCGTGAGTGTTTGGGATGGGAGTAAGGGGCGCGTCTGGCCTCGTGCTCCAGTGGAAGGGGCCGGAGGGCGGGGAGCGGCTCAGCATGGTCATCCTGGACCCTGGGGGCCGGCAGGCTGCGAGTGCTATCTCTGAGGGCCTGGGGCGGTGGAGCGAGGCCGGGTAGGAACTCCGGGCTCTGGACGCGTGTGAAGGACGGGGGCGGGCGGTGGCTCGGGCTCGGCCTGGGAGCGGTATGGCGGGTGGAGCGCTGGGAGATCCGAGTAGACTGGAGAAGCCGTGGGGGGGCGGGGCGCCCAGCCTCCGGTTGGGGGAAGGGGAGCGTAATAGCGAGGCCCGAGAGGGCGCCGCGCCCAGGCTCCGCCCCTCTTGGGGCGGAAGGGGGAGCTGGGGCGGGGCCAGCCTAGCTGGGGGCCTACTGGCCGAGCTGAGACCTGAGAGGGAGGGCTTCGCTTGGGACCTACCCGACGTAAGGTGGGGTTTTCCACACCTTGTTCCTAGTCTCTTGACTGAGCTTTTATTGCTTCCACAGATCCACCTCCGACACTTAAGCCAGAGTCTCAGGTACGACGTTCCTTACCTTTCCAGGCTACTATCACTGACAATACTCCCTTCCTCCAAATCCCTGTTAAATTGGTGTCTGGCTTCAGTGTAATCCATGCTTCCTTCCTTTCAGCCACCAGAGAAACGTCGGAGAACAATTGAGGATTTCAACAAATTCTGCAGTTTTGTCTTGGCTTATGCTGGTTATATTCCTCCTAGCAAAGAGGTAGGGACAAGGGAACAACTGCTTTGAGTCAGGATTGTGTTACTTTGGAGGAGCAGTACTGACAATGGTACAGATTCGGGAACCTGGAAGCTCTGAAGGGCTGCGGTGGGAAAGCTGGAGGAAGATGAGAAGGGAACGTGCAGGGCGGTAGCTGCTGACTTGGGAAGTGATAAAGGAGGTCTGCAGGCCTTGGTCAAGGCTTTGGAATGAATTGGTTGTTGTTAATAAAAGATGTTTCTGGATAAGTTTTAGGGAATTGAAAATGGTAACATAAGTGAGGCTGTAAAGGAACAGGGCTAAAGAAATGCAGCTTTGGACTGGCCGGAGTACATTGTTCTGTAGCCAGGGCCGGGAGCACTGGAGGGATGCCTCGTTTTCAACAGCAGTGACAGGTAGCCATGAGGAGAACCGGTGGCAGCTGGAGAGAAGATCAATCTTGAGTACAGTGAGATTTTGTGGTTGAGGCGGGTTATTTGGGCTAGCTCTAATCCTCGTTTGGGCTGGGTTTGTGGAGGGCTGAGGTGACAACAGGCTTCTGCTCACTTGGACTTTTCCTCTTTTTAAGGAAAGTGACTGGCCAGCCTCTGGCTCTAGCTCTCCATTGCGAGGTGAGAGTGCAGCAGACAGTGATGGCTGGGACTCGGCCCCTTCAGATCTTCGTACCATCCAGACTTTTGTTAAGAAAGCTAAGTCATCCAAAAGAAGGGCAGCTCAAACAGGTCCCACCCATCCAGGACCCCCAAGGTCCACTTTCTCTCGTCTGCAGGCCCCTGATAGTGCCACCTTGCTTGAGAAGATGAAGCTCAAGGACTCACTCTTTGATTTGGATGGGCCCAAAGTGGCATCTCCGCTGTCCCCTACATCCCTGACACATACCTCTCGACCCCCTGCTGCTCTCACCCCAGTGCCCCTTTCCCAAGGGGACCTTTCCCAGCCTCGAAAGAAGGACCGAAAGAACCGAAAATTGGGGCCAGGAGGTGGGGCTGGCTTTGGGGTGCTACGAAGGCCTCGGCCAGCTCCTGGGGATGGGGAAAAGAGATCTCGAATCAAGAAGAGCAAGAAGCGGAAGTTGAAAAAGGCAGAGCGGGGGGACAGACTCCCACCTCCTGGTCCTCCTCGGGCACCCCCCAGTGATACAGACTCTGAAGAGGAGGAGGAGGAGGAGGAAGAAGAGGAGGAGGAGGAAGAGATGTCATCAGTAGTTGGGGGTGAAGCCCCAGCTCCTGTGCTCCCAACACCCCCCGAAGCCCCTAGGCCCCCTGCTGTAGTCCACCCCGAAGGAGCCCCGACCACAGACAATGAAGTCAAAGAGGTGGGTAGCACTGAAACAAGCCAAGACGGAGATGCCAGCTCCAGCGAAGGCGAGATGCGGGTGATGGATGAGGACATCATGGTAGAATCAGGTGAGAGGTTTGGGGTACTAGGAACTGTTGGGGGAGGGTGGGGTGTGTTGAAGATCCAAAAGTTCAGGCAGAACATCAAACAAATCTTCTTTTCCCCAGGTGATGACTCATGGGATCTGATCACATGTTACTGCCGAAAGCCCTTTGCAGGGCGCCCCATGATTGAGTGCAGCCTGTGTGGGACATGGATCCATCTCTCCTGTGCTAAGATTAAGAAGACCAATGTCCCTGACTTCTTTTATTGCCAGAAATGCAAGGAACTGCGGCCGGAGTCCCGGCGGTTAGGGGGGCTTCCTAAGTCTGGAGAGCCCTGACATCATCATCTCTAGGCTGGAACTTCCACAATGACAGCATAACTTGGGAAATGAATCTCAAGGTCCTCAGTCTGTGATCTAGGTGTGGAAATTGTCCCCACTTCGAGGCAGAAGTTCCCAAGGGAGACTTGTTTGGAAATGAGTGTTGGTTCCTTACCTTTCCTTCCTCTTCACCTGGTGGACTTGAAATTGGACCTATTGCTGTTTGGGGTGGGAGACTCTCTGGGTCCAGATCTTGCTCCCCTTGGACCTGCCTCGCTTTGTGGGCCAGGGTTCGAATTGGGATAGGACAGTTGTCTATAAAACTCTAGTGTAAATATAGCACTCCTTTCCCTCATCTATTTCACTCCCCATTTATTTTCTTAAACACCAGTTGTATTTTTAGTTTTGGACTTCCCCTTTTGAGCATGGTAGCTCAAAACGGGGGTGACCAGAGCCAGGCCAAGTGAGGAAGGAGAGCAGAAAGGTGATGATTTTCACTCACCTCTA